TTCTCTCGGCTTTCTCATATCTGGCCGTCGCCACTCACCACGACCCGACAAGCTCGCCGCCTCCCTCGACGAACGAACGAGCAGCCGGCTTCTATTTTTCTCCGTGGTGCCGTTGAAGGTGATGTTCTTTTCCTCTTGATGAAAGCTCTCACCGGCGGCGGGGCGATGGAAGTTTTTGGCGCTAGTTCCGTCAGTGCTTCTCATTGTTCCCTCCTGCTTAACATCATTACCCATTGCCTCGGGGAGATGGAGTCGGGGCGCTCTGCCGTCTGTCCCGCCGGCATACCAGAAGCAAGCCGCGCAAGAAACAAGTAGTGCTCATCAACGTTCAAAAGTCATCCCTGACTAACTGATTGACCGACTGACTGGCTGACTGACGGGAAGAAATCGAGAGTGCTGGCAATCTCCTATGCAGGGAGGAAGCCACTGCAGAGAGAATTCCATGTCGGAGCATGCGTTTCGCGCGATCTAGAGATCTACTGTGGGCAACGGAGAAATTTTGTCTCCTCCTCTTGGTGGAAAATTCCGCTGCCTCCTCGATCCTCCTGAGCGGACCGATCGGGATTGGAAGACCGCAGAAACTCATCAGGCCTCGCTGATGAACTCGTACGATCCGGCCTTATAGATCAATGTGAAGCTGTCAAACTCGGTTCTCTAAACGAAATCGTTCCCATTGATTAGTTCCCCCTGTATCTCGCACGTCACAATGCAGCACCTCATCGCTCATCTCATGTCGGCTCCCTTACCGCGATGGGTCGCAATGTGGTTCGGCTCGATCGGCTTCATTGTCAATTCCATTCTTTGCGTCAGACGAGCTGCCGGCTTTATCTAGGTCCTCTGCAAAAGTTCCAAAAAGCCTGCGGCTTTGCTCCCTGCCTCACGGAAAACTCGCGGACCCAGTCGCGCTCGTCATCGGCTATCGCTAGGGAGCGTACGTAAAATGATCATGAATCGGAATCATCCACCGCTGCCTGAGGTCCAGATTCCGATAGTTTTTGGACGTAACTCGAGCAGAACGATGACGGCCCGGTATCCCCATCGTCGCGTCGATTCTAGATGTTGGAGCTTCCATCCAATCTAGGATGCGATCCCGATCTTTCCCTCAAATTCCGAACGCTCTCGGTACACCTACCTGCTCGAGTCGCACACTGAAACAGATGACTGTATCGAACGCCTTGTTGATGTCTCGGGGAGCTCTCAGAACGAAATCCTATCGTTGGAGGCTCGTGTGGCTTCGCTGTTTGTTCAGGTAACTTGATTAGCGAGGAGGCTAGCCTTGAAGCAAAAGAGGGGATCGTCAACGATGCTGACTAACGCGTCTTTTCCATCTGGGGTTTGGTAGTTCTACTCCTGCCAGTGGCTTTGTCGGCTACTCGCCGCTTCACGAATAGACAAACGCTTCGCATCGGGAGGCTTGTTTCGAATTTCCAAGCTCTTTCGATGAGCGTATCGGGAGACAGTGAATGAAAAGAAAAGAAGATCAAATCGAAGCTCGCATTCCGGATCGCCGGAGATTCTCGGGATGGGATGCCGAGAACGGTATCGATAGCATCCATCCACAGGAATCTCTTCGGAGAGCTTCAAGAGGATCGGACGAATTCTTCGCAGTTCCGCCATCCTTGCCAGCGATGATGGGATCCGGGTCTCGAATAGAGATCCGAAACCTGGCACTAGCAGTCTCGTATGACATGAACTCGCCGGATCGGGAAGACGACTGACCGGGCTGCTTATTTTCTTGCCTGCCCGGCTGCCGACCGAGCGACCGACCGGATGGCTAATCCAATATTAGGGAAGCTCGTCGTTCTTCTTCCGTTGCGGCTGCTCATCACGACGGCTGCACTCCTTCAGGACGAATCATATTCACGCCGCCCAAGCTGACATGTTCGTTCGCGCGATGTCTCGCTGTCACCCTCGATTGGCACAACCGGTCGAGAGAGTGAACGGACGATTCAATCTCACCGAGTGACTCCTCCTACTTCTTGGAGCAAGAAAGCAGATCCTCGAGATCTAGCTCGTCATCGCACTCTTCACGAAATGTGTGTGAGCGCGTGCAAGCGAACGCGTTCAGATGGCGGTATGGGCGGCGGCTCTTCCGGGGCTAATTTTATTAGTATTCCCTCGTTCCCTCGTTCGTCCGTCCGTTGAAACAACACCTCAACACTTAAGCGGCGAGCCAAAGAGCAAAGACGCCTCCGCATTGAGAGTCCTTCACGCCTGCCACACTTCAGAAGCTTCATCTGAAGTGAAGAAACCCCTTCCCTGACGGCCTGGAGGAAAGCGATCCACGCTGTGCTCTCTCGCGACGCGACGGAAAGATCCGTCTACGTGTTGCGGGTTCGGAACATTCGATGATTCGGATTGATTTCCAAGCCGGATAAATGTTTTCCGACTCCAGACTTGAGAGACTAAATACTAAGTATTTAGTAATAAACGAATAGCCGATCGGAGCACCCGGTGGCTGTTTGACGGAATATACGTAGACCTGATGCACGCGATTCTGTGGCCTTTCCACCCTCCTGGGAAGCACGTCCACGCTCACCATCGGAAGCGATACAGGCGCAAGGGACTCGTTCCGGAACTATTGAGTCGCGACAGCAGATGACGATACGGCTCATGACTTATTAACGCGAAAGCAAACATTTCCCGCGGAAATAGTTTGTCCAACAAGTGACCGCAGTCAGGAGCTCAATCTGTCATCATCAAGCGTCGCTCTCCCGACGGCGCTAGTGCAAGGCATTCCATCGTGCATTGTCCTGACTAGTGGAGCCTGGTCAATTTTATTGGCTCTCTGACTTGACTCCTACCGGAGTCATAGACGAGCTATGCGATGGGGATCTGTAATGTCTCACCGGGATAACAGGAGAGAATTCGCAGTCGCGTGTGGGCACAGCTGGCATCGAAACAAAACGTAAATCAAAGGCAATCGCGCACCGCTATTACTGCTTCCAGCATATCACCGCCATCGACGATTAACTGGCCGAAAGGAATGCGAGCATTCAATTTGATTGAGCTGCGGTAAACGATCAGAGTCCCGACGTCCACCCGCGACGCATCGCTCGGACGCAGGCTCTTGCAGAAAGCTGAATTTCGAGATTCGAAATCCACGGGTTTCGACAGCGATAGAGAGCAACAGCGCAATAATTAGACGGCGGATCTACGTAGGTGAAACGCGTATAATTGAAGTCAGGTCATGAATGGGTTCGGCTTGTCGCTCTCGGTGCCGTTTCAATTACCGAGAGATACGAGCAGTGAGTACACGGCGATGCAGTTGGAATACAAATGCGTCTTGGTGGCGAGCTCCACCCGCGGCTGACACCGCGGACTTCTCTGCAAATGGACGACTGTGAGTGAGATGTCGCTCGCTTGTCCACCTGGCTTGTAGAAATAAAAGCAATGTTGATGGCATATCTGAACTCGGGGGCGTCGCTTCGTTTGACTTCGGCGTTCCGATTGGTGGGGCTTGTCGGAATGAGTTGGTGGACGGCAGTCGTCGTTATCATGTGGCATTCTCGGAAGCTGCGCGACACCTTCTAATAACGACTGATGGAGACCCACTTCGTCGACGGATCGTGAATAAAGTAGTTGTAACGGTGGCCGTGGAATGAGTTCTGTACCTGCCTCCACAGAGCCGTGATGATGCTCCATTCACGAACTCGGCCGCATCTCATCCTGTTCTGACAACCCCGGTTCGCCCTCGACGTACTTTCTGAACTTCTTCCTCTCGGGAGTCGTCCACCCGTGGTGTGAGTTCCTGAGTTTGCGGGTCTCTGAGTTAGGCGTGCGTCGTCCCGTTTCCCTCCGGGGGGAAGCTTTTTATAGCATTTTGACTGAGGTCCGGCGGAAGCAATGAGGAGCTGAAATTTAATAAAGCCGCTTGAGGAAGAGTTGTGCGTTCTCGTTGGCTGACGCGCGTTGTGCTCTCGAAAAGAAATGCCGGTCTCTTTGTATTATGATCTCCTGCCGCCAAGTCTGCAGAGGAAGGTCCTGAAGCCTCACTCGCCGGGAGTCGATCACGGTGTCCCGCGATGACGGAACGAATAAAAATTCCTCGACAGGAGTTGGCGATCCCGTACAGGAACGGCGTCAACGTCGATTCTGAGTTGATCCGGACCGGACAAGGCACCGATTTTTCGATTTGGGGCTCTTCCTCCGCGAACTATCCCGCACGATCTACCGTACCCTGGACCCGCACTTGGTCAACTGCGCCTTCCTGCAGAGTCGACAAAGAGATATCAGAGGGGAAAATGAGCTCTCGGATCAAGGGCCACCGCCGAGAAAAACGAGAGAGCTTTTTGTCGGAAGGGGATTTCGTCTGAGGAAAACAGCGTTTGTTCCTCATTTGTTCCTTCAGGGATATAAATCGGCATCGCCCTCCTGCCCGCCTGCTCGCCCGCTCGCTCTCCCTCCCCTGAAAGCTTCCCCGGCCGAGAGCAGCCAGTGGAATTTTGATTGAAAAAGCTTCGCTCAACTGGCGGCTGCGACGATCATAATCATCATACATCATCTATTCAGTTTAGTTCAGCCGAGGAAGAATACCACTTCATCGAATTAACAACCGCCGTCGTCGTAGCCGCCGCTGCCACTCGCGCGCTATCCGGGGAACACAATGGACTCAGGCAGGCAGCCGGGTGGGCAGAGCTCATGGTCAACTCATTTTAAAGTCTTTGGACGGCCCACATATATCTTGCCCTCCTCTTTTGCTCACCGCTCCAACCTCTATGCTTCTTCTCCGGATGGAGGTCAACCCAGAGCGATGGACAAGTAGATTCACTAGCAACCACGATTCGCTTGTCTTCGACCTCAATTTTCTTCGACGAGACAATCACGAAAGTCTCCGGTGTACGGCTCGGCCTCCGGTAAATCCTCAGCTACTTATCGACGGGCCTAAAGAACTATTCGTGGAGTTCTCGAGTCACTTTACGTTTTATCGTCGAGTCGACGGGAGCGACGAGCACCTTTTGATAGACCTCATGCGCATGAAACTCGTTCCTTTTTTTCAGGGGAGAAGCCGCACAAATGTACTGTGTGCGGCAAGGCCTTTAGCCAAAGCTCGAACCTGATAACCCACAGTCGGAAACACACTGGATACAAGCCATTCGCCTGCGACATCTGCGGGAGAGCCTTCCAACGGAAGGTGGATCTGCGTCGTCACAAAGAAACTCAGCACTCGGGAGGCTTACCAGCGCTGGTGGGGTCTCATCTCGTCGCTCAGAGACAGCCGTCGGACCTCATCACCCCGGGACCACCATTGACGCTGCCGCTTCCACTCACATAAGACGGTTTCGAACCGTCAGGTTTTCATTCCATACAATTGCCAGGTGAAACGCGAGTTTCCGATTAGCGGGAATTCATCAGATACGCATTTCGAACATCGTCTAGTCATCATCATACATACATATGTGAAGCAAGGGTATAGCGCGAAACCGCGGCAACTTACTCACTTGTGATAACACTGGTCCGAGGGAGCGACGGCGGCGACGGGGAATCGTTGTACACACACCTATCGTACAACGACATTGCAAGCCTCAACGGAGATCAACACTGCGACGAAACGCAATGACGATCCGCATCGTTGGCTGACCATTGCACCAACTGACTTCGAGTCTCAAGGTATGTTCAGCAGCAGGAAATAGTTCTCCGGAGACATCCCCGCATATGCCATCAATTTTCGAGGAATCCCGGGGTACCTGTCAGCGTCTCTGTTCGGGAGGATGATGACGAGGAGTCGCAAAAACGAATTCTCGGTGCAGTGTGCATTCCACTGTGGACGTTGGAAGGATGGAACACTTCCGTCTCCGAAAATCATCTTTCGATATCTGCAACGTGATGATGGCATTCTGATCCTCAGAGATTGTATCGTCGGCCTCATCGAAAAGCCCCGTGGGAGAAAGCGTACGAAAACGGGGAAGGTCGGATATTGTTGGAGTGCATTTGATTTCTCGTCTTTTCTGGGCAGAATGCTTTTTTTCTCAGACAATGAGGTGCGGGTATGTACTTTTTCGAGGGAGATTCGAGGGTTTTGTGCATCCGGACTTACAAGGAACAGTATTTTTTTCCCAGCGAGGATTTTGTGTTTCTGATAATTCTCACCTCGCCTAGTTCCGTCTCGAAGAAAAGTGGTCTAGTAGGTACATGGCGAAGTCCTGTGCGAACAAGACGTGGAGAACAATATTGATTACGATGATCGCAGGCATAGTAATATATTGTTGTGTGAGTTTATTACGCGGACGCTAATAAATGATGACGGAAAAAAATCGTCGCTGTTCACCAGACTTCATTTTTCCCCCGCACCCTCAGGTTTATTTTCCGCAGCGGAGCGTTCACGAAATCGGCCCGAGGAGCTGGTCTGCGAGACCGCGAGGGCGATCCCAGGTTTTCCCGCGGCATCCCCACCATCTCAACCCGACAAGACAGAGCGAGGTATTTTGTGGGAAGCGGACCGGATACAAATTGGTCGATCGTTCGAAACCGAAAGCCTCGTTTTCGGGTTGGGTGACAATGTGTTGATGTTACGGGGTGAGCTAGTCTTACTCCCTGGCCGATCGTTGCCTAATGTATGCTAATAGAGGGGTTTCACATCAAGTGGCAGATGGTTCGCAGGTGGGGGGCCGCGAATCCAAGCGGCATAACACAAGTTCTGGCTCGAAGCAAGAAGTGAACAACGGTACACTCGCTCCTCTGAGCTTTCAAAAGACTGCGTTCGAGTTGCTCCCGTGGATTTTCCTTCCGCATCCATCGAGCGGGTGGTGTTTACCCTGCGAAGTCTAAAGGGACTCGGTTCTGTACAATCACGGTCGCAGATCAGGCTTGCGATGAAGAGCGGCACAAACTCGAGTTTCCCGTGGATTAGAATCATAAACTCCCCGAACACTTTCCCATCCATATTCGGATTGCGATTTCGAAGCATCGCCCAATTGGAATCCCAGCTAGGGAGCAGATACGAATCATTGTCGAGCGAATCGTGAACGAGCACAGCCTGTTGTCTCAATATAGATACTCCGGATTTCGATACAAAGCTCAGAGTTTATCGATCCAAATTCAATCAGAATCGTGGAAGTAGTTCGATGCTTGACCGACAAGACAGAATCGAGCGGCAGTGGGCTAATGAACTCACATCGCGAGCGGAAGCATTCGATGCTGTAGAAATGTAGAGGTTGCCGCATGCCGAGCAGATACCGCGAGCTCACCCGGCTCAATCGCTTCGACTCGAAGTCATCCACTCGTCTCCACGCTCCACGAACGTCTCCTCTGTACGAAACACGCGAAATAATAAAGAAGCGATGTAGCCCGCCAGCTACCAGGAATGGATCGTCAGGATCTTGCAACTGCTTGCCTTGTTAACAGGTCTTATCAGAGTGCTATTAGCGGTTTCATGTTACAGCACACTCACGAGCAAGCGAGTGAGCGGGCGGACGAGCAAGCGAGCGAGCGAACAAGACGCCCTGTCATTGTGCTAGCCATGGGTGGTTCGAGTAGTGCCGCTGAGCAGCCAGATCGAATTTCATGCGGTCGGATTCGGCAGTACACGAGGTGCGAGCCGGGGTCGCGTGCACTCTCATATTTGCCGAGGCAGTTGCTTAAGGCCCGTTAATCGTTTCCCAGGCGGGCGGGCCGGTCGCTCGCTCGCTAAGGAAGCTTGTGGGATATCCAGTCAGTCAGTCAGTCAGCCAGCCAGCGCAGTTAGCGGGAGATGTTATCTGAGAGACTTTGTGGGAACGATATCGCGCATCGTGTCAAACTTGACCCGGATTGATTTTGGAAGAAGCACGTCCGATCGAGCAATCACAGGACCTTGCGGTACCGAATCAAACAGCGAAATCTAATCCGGGATTTCGCGGGCCGCACGGTATGAACCTCTTCGAATAGCAGAGATGCCGTCATTTCCCCTCGAAGCGTCCCTGCCGAGCGGTCTCTGTTTGTCCGATCGGCTCCCCATCGCCCCCAGATCGAGCCCCATCGGTACGGATCGAATAGTTGTCCCGTGGACATCACGAAAACGTGAGCTTCGAATGGCCCCGTCATAGTTCCGCCTGAAGAATCGTCGTATGTTTATATGCAGAGAATCATCTCGCCGCGATTCCGTTCGACCCTCTCGTTATCGAGCGTATCGCTGCGGAATCGTCTCTCCATAGATCGGGAGCGGGTAATCCGGTGAGCTTGCCGTGCCGATTTCCCATTGACTGGCTGAAAATTCAATCTCTCAATGGACATGCATGTAAACCTACTCTTCCAATCTCGGGAGTTTCGCGTGACCGCGCAATATCTTCGGCTCCTGGCCTCCCTAGTGAACTCGATATCAGTTTGCGAGACACGCTAGGCCGCGAGTACCCACCATACCGCTAGCTTCTCCGGTGCATGCGACGCTGCCTCCAATCAACCTACTGAACCTTCCAACCACTTCATAATGATATCTCCGCGATCTACCTCATTGCGACGTTGGAAAAGATCCCGCCGAGCTCCTCGACGGAGCTAGCAAGTGATCATGAATCTCTATTCCCTACGACCTACGACCCGGGAGACGACGCCGACGATTCGCCGGTGGGCGAATATTGGTCGCAGAGTGAACACCTTGAAATTGCCAGAGCGATTTTCTACAACAACGGAACGACTTGGACGCATCGGGTGGAAGCATCGGACCGATGTGGATGAAAAACCGGCGTCGGATACGATCGATCGACGTCTCTTGTTTTCTCCCTGGGCCGGCGCCATTCCCGTTCGGGAGTTCTCGTCAATAAGAGTTCTCCGAGCGTCCCATCAACCGCTTTGTTCCAGCGGAGAGGCGACGCCACGCGCCGCAGTCGATTTCTCCCTGGTTTTCCACCCTTCCCCCGTCCCCCACGTGGACCCTTTTGGGAACTGAACGAACGCAAGTCATGGAATGACAGACGAACGAACGAACGAATGAATGAGCCAGGCTGCATCGAGTCAAGTCGAAACGGCGAGAGGCTTTTTATTGAAATTCCACCCATTTGCCGTTCCCCTTCCATCTAGTGGTAGTGGCGGCGGCAGCGGCGGCGAAAGCCGTTCTCCTTTGCTTTCTTCTCTGCTCTCCTCAGGAGCTTTGAACGCGTTTTTCGCCCGCTCGTTCGAGGAATTTCGAAGATTCTCGCCGAGTCGGAATCGTCTCGAATTGAAGAGATCGTTGGCGCCTACTTCGAAGGGAAATCGAATTTTCAGAATAGATGGTTCACTAAAACGAGACGATAGGATATTGAAACAGCCTGCCCGGCCGTCTACCCGCTCGGGCTCAGATAAAGGGTTTCGTATTTTTCCTGCCCTACGCCTGTAACTTCTCTCCAACATACATACATATAGGAGCTCGTCCGGGGCTTCCGGGAATAGATGGACTCGAGCTCGAGCCCAGGTTCTCCCTGATGGATGGAGATGTAGCTCGCGATGCCTCGGTCGCCCCCTCTGCTGGCCAGCCTCGATTGATGGAACACCATACGGACGACCCCGACTGTAGGACGACGACTGAGCTCACTGTTCCGAGCTCTCTCGAGCTTCGCCGGCATTCGTCGTTTCTGCGCGAAAGCACTCGCAGAAGTATCGCTCGCAGAGGCGATTTTCTTCCAATGGCCGACTGTCATCAAACTCTATGCTGCTATCACGTTCAGAAAAAATTCAGAGGTAGCAGCAGAGCCACTACCGTGTAGAGGACGTGAAACGTCTTCGGAATGGCCATTCGTAATTCGTAAGACTCGAGCATCGTTATTATTTCTTTAAACTCAGCTCCTACCCGAGCGCAATGGAAATCTACGATCGCATAGGTAAGCAAGGGTGGGTCGCTGACATCGGGATCGGGAGTCACCTCCATCGGATTGACTAGCATTGCTCCATCGCATTGCTGTGGGACTGGCTCACCGTATTCAGTCGACGCGCCCGCCATTGCGCTGTCCTTCCAGCACCCGTACGAGGTCTTTAACAGTTTACAATCACTCGGAGTTTTAGTCCGTGAACGAGACTTCCGACGCCGACGTCTGGAACTGGCTCTTTTAGGTCTCATTCTCACTGGTGGAATCGACCTCTCCACCGAAGTTGGGAAAATATTTTCTTCCGAGTGGGAAATATCTTCTTCTGAGTTTTGTTACGCGCGCTCCGGAAATTTGAAATCGCCCTCTCCCAAGAGCAGCCATGTTCACGGGAGAATAGGGCGTATAGGGAGTCATTCTTGCCTCCAGGAATTGATCTGTGTGTGTGGGAATTCCGTAGGAGGTTTATGAAATTGATTTGCCGTAAATTTGCTATCTAAAGACACCAACCGGGTGTCGATCG